AGAGAGAGAGAGAGAGAGACCGTACCAGACGCCCATACCTACAGATGAACATCAAAGGGCTCAGGTGGAGCGTCATATTTTAGGTCTACTTGTGTTCACAGCAGCTAGCAACCAACGCTTATCGTAAAAACTTACAAAACAGGAAAGCGACAATGCCCGGTAAACAGATTACAGAGCAAACTCTGACGTTTACACAATACGTAATGTTTTCACGGGTATGACCAGAACGTATGACATGAGCTAAGTCTGGCCACGCCTCCACACATCCGCTTCCGGAACGCCAAGGGGATTAACTTTTGTGTCAAGCTTGCCTAAAGAGTCTAGGGGGCTCTATCATCCCACAATAGCCTCAAGGCTGTACCAACAGGAGAACTGTTTACATTAAAAGTTATTTGAGTGAGGGGATATATACATTTATTAGTTAGGGTTTAATTATATTAATCCTTGGTTAATTTGAGATTTTAACATGGCATGTTCTCAAGGTTTTAAGATTGAGGCCATAAATAGAAGTGAAACTTTCAAGACAATGGTGTATCATTTATACATCACTGATAGCCCCCTAACCCCCCCTCCCCTTATAGTTCTTTGTTTTTATAGTCTCCTCCATCTACTCAAAAATAAACCCCACAAAAAATATCACAGAAGGAGATTTGGGAATTTATGGCAACATGGGACATCAGGCAATGACGGTATAAAAATAAAAAATAAAATGCCTTCCCTTTTAAAAAAAATCTTACAGTAGTTTTAATAGCCCACATTGACACTGTCTTTTATTAAAAGATAATTTGTTCTTCCTCTGCTGGCAGCCTACATTTAAAAGTGTGAGGTAGAACAACAAAAATAATGAACAGATCTCTACAAACAGGAAAAAAACACAAAAAAGGGAAGAATAAATTACCTGGTTCTCGGGAGACAAAATTAGGCATCCACTCAGTCTGCCATCTAGACTGTACCACAGTCAGATCTGCAGCAATGAGGAAAACCAACAGGCTGACCATTGCGTTGCTCCAAGAAATATACTCCATGACGATGATGATGATGCGTTTTAAATATATCCTTTGCTTCCTGGAGTAATTATATCCAAATCAACGTACTTGAGCGGGTTTACAGTCTTTAGTTGACACAAGTGATCGGGAACTTGGTAGTGCTGCAAGTAAAATACGAAAGATAAATCAGTCTGCTATACTTTCATTGGGAATTTTCAATAAAACAAAAAAACAACAACCAACAACTGATGAAATCACTAAGTTGAAATAAAGATTTGAAAGAGAAAGAGTAAAAATTCATAATGACTATATAGATTTTTTTAAAAATTAGACAAAAGGAGGAGGAAAAAATATAGAAACAGAATAAGAAAAAAATAATAATTCCCAATTTAAATTGAGTTAAAATGAGTAGAATTTAAAATATAAATCATTGTCTTTTTTGCGTCTGGTTGTTGTTAATGCTGATAGAAACAGAGTAGCAAATTTTCCAGTTTACAATAGACCTAAACTAAACTTTACCATTAAAATGTCAGTCAAATGAGATTCTTGGTGTATTAACCCAAAATAATGAAGCCGAATAGAGCATAATGACATGAAAAATAAGCTAGGCACACAAACAGCCAGTTACATAACACAATATAGCAATTGACTTTTTCCCCTGAAAACAGTCAACTACATAGATATCTAAGAACTTATTTTCTAAAATGACTATCTAGGTCAATAAATGAAAACAGAACTTCTTGCCTGACTTTAGACCTTGATTTGAACCCCCC